CGTAGAAACCACCTTCGATGGGTAGATCTTGATAATCGTTCAACTTATATGTTACTGGTTTTGTTGATTTAACTTGAGAGATGGTAAATATTTCAGTTGTCCAGTTTGGTGTATATCCTTTTTCAAAAATATGTTTATTTTTGCTTATTCGAACTCTATCGCCAACTTTGAATTTTGCTCGTTTAGTTAAAATTTTCCTCTGTTTTGAGATACGTTTCAATAATTCTTTTTCATCTTGTTTCCTGACATCCTTGGGTTTCATACCAATAGTTCGATGTTTCTGGTTGTTATACTTTGAAATTAGAGATGGTAATATATCTTCCCATTTATAATTTCCTCTTAAATTGAATTGCGGCCACATCATATTTTTAAGTGTTCGGTTAAATCTTTCAATTATTGAAGGTTTCAAATTACTATATGTTAAATACAGTTTAATTTTATATGATTTCATTAAATTCTCGAATATTAAGTTATAAAATTCTTTGCCTCTATCAGTATGTAAAGTTTTTGGTATACGTCCATCTTTGAGTATAGATTTCATAGCAGTAGAAACATCTTTACCAGATTTACTTTTTACAGGTACTGCCCATGCATACTTGGAAAATATATCTATAACAGTAAGCATATATTTGAATCCTTTGTTAACTTTCGAATATGGTATCATTTCAACCAAATCTGCTTGCCATGTTTCATCCACACCACGCATTTGTACTTTACGACGTGGATAATTTCTTCTAGCTTGTCTATGTAATTCTGTGACAACTGTTAACTTTTTGTCATCCATTTTAAGGTATATATGAATACATCAATACTCAACACAATACTGATTCAAAGTTTATATACACACACTTAATATATAATTTTACTTTCACGTAATTCTTCAATAATACTCATAATTTCATTGTTATGACTCGGATTTCCAGCTTGTCGTGATGCTATAAGTAATCGTAAACGATCAACAAGTTCATTTGGATCATCCCAGTAGATGTAGTCTGAATATGATTCTTTTTTCACTAACATAGATTGCGGTAATAAATTCTTTTTCTGTAAAGATTCTCCAGTTTTTTGATAAAGCTTTGCAATAACATTTGTATATTTAAAACTCTTGTTTGTACGAATAGGTTTATTTGGACTATAATTCCTTCTATGTGCATTAGTAGCTTGTAATATTTCTTTATAGTTGGCTAAATCATCTGAACTTATAGAATCTTTATTAGGTTTTTCTCTAAATAAAAGTTCTAGTAATCCATCTGTTTTAGTATATTTTTTCTATCCACCTAAGTCTATCAGAGGACCATCAAAATTAATTTCTGTATTACCTATCATGAAACCTCTATCTTTAACTTTCCGCACTCCGTAAACCATATCCAAATATTGTTTTCTATTTTGATTCAACAATCTTATGAATTTATTTGTTAATTTGTCGGAATCTTGTTGTTGTATATTATTCTGCTCATAAGACTCTTGAACTGTTAAATTATCATTTAACATATCGTTTTGCTCATGTATAACATCTTGATACTCTTGATTTGATAAGTCATCAATTATATTTCTACTTTTTATATTATGTAAATCTTCTACTTCAGATATAGGATAATCAAATGTATAGTTATTATATGCAGGTATATCAAATGGTTCATCATCACTAACAGCAGTCTTGAATGTTGTTTCAAAGTCTTCATCTTCTTCTTCTTCCTTTTTTATTTTTGATACATTTTTACTCTTGATTGGATTATAATTTCTATTCACCAATTTCTCCAATGGAGTAACTAATGGTTGAAAAGTTTCTTTCAATATATTTTCTGCAGTCTCTTTACCACTTTTAAGTATACGATGTTTCTTGCGTATAGCATCACTTGCTTTTGCTATTTCATGAAGCGTTTCTCGTTCTTTCCGAAACATGTTTATATATTGATGTCTAAAATTATACTAATGAAAGTTGTAAACCAATAGATACTTATAACTGAATAAAGCAATCGAAACCTTTTCTATATCTTCCTTCATTTAAATTTCGGTCTTTGTCTATAACAACAAACCCATATCTATCAGAATTCCAACATGTTGAGCATAAATCACGAAATTGATTATAAGTCATATCTGTATTTACATGATCGTTATAAACATGCTTAAGGTTTCTCTTATCTTGTTTAAAAAGTACTAGTAAGTTAATATTATCTCTAACAAGATGTTTGGGAATGTGGGCATATGTCTGACATAGATAGAAACTGTCAACGTTGACATGCCTACCCATGCAAAAAAATGCTCTTATATTGTCTTGCTTCTCGCAAGCAATATCATCAAAAATAAATACTAAATTTGGTTTAGCGTCTTTAGGTGAAACCACTTCTTCATGTTCTCTAAATGGAAAGTATTCAATACCATCAACTTTACTGAGAACTTTTTCTAAAAATTGATATTTTGGTTGTTGTAAAGACTTTGAATATAAATATATATTTTCAAAGCTTAAACCATTCGGATGTATGATTAATGACAAAAGAGCATTTGTCTTTCCACAATTTGATGGTCCACAAAATGCTGCACGAATGCTGTTTGAAAATAAACATCTATGACGTTTTTCACCATCATCCTTGTTTGGAAGAAGGTTATCAACATTCACTATTGGGAGTTGAACATCTTGTACATTAAACCGCATCTTGAAATCGACTGAAGGTATAGGTATAAATATAGCGTTTATATAGCTGTATCCAATCAGTTAGTTGTGAACCATAGTCGAGTGAGGAATGATTACTCATGATAAAGTGAAAAAGAATAATAAAAAAATTTCTTGTCGTGGTCAAGGCTTTCTCAATACTATAATCAATAAATTACCATTCGAGTTTCATTTCCCGGGTTATCAATATTGTGGACCTGGTACGAAGTTAGCAAAACGTCTTGCACGTGGTAATTCTGGTATAAACCCTTTAGATGCAGCTTGTAAAGATCATGATATAGCTTATTCAAAAGATAAAGACGTGGCTATAAGAAATTCTGCAGATAAAATACTTGCTGAAAAGGCGTGGAAACGGGTTGTTTCTAAAGACGCTAAATTAAGTGAAAAACAGTTGCATTAGCTGTAACTAATATAATGAAAGCCAAGTCTAAATTTGGGATGGGGATAAAAGTTAATAAGAAATATAAAAAGATTAAGACAAAGAAATCAAAGAAGAAAAAGAAGAAGAGTAAGAAGGTTGTTTCTAAAAAACATGTTACTTTAAATAAGATTGTTAATGCTGCTAAAAAGTCTATGAAATCTAATAACAACTCTTTAGATACAATTAGAACTGCTATGATTGGTGCAAGAAAGGCTATAAAACAGTATGGCGGTAAATCTAAGATTATATCACCTCGAATTCTTCCTATACCCTCAAAAGTTGGGGGTATTTTACCTCTTGTACCAATTTTTGCTGGACTGAGTGCTTTAGGGGCGCTTAGTGGTGGAATTAGCGGTATAGTGAAAGCTGTAAATGAAGCTAATGTTGATAAGAAAGAACTTTCAGAAGCTCAACGACATAATCATACTATGGAATCCATTGCTTTAGGAAAAGGTTTATACATGAAACCATATCAACGAGGACTTGGCCTTTATATGCAACCTTACAAAGGCAAAGAATTATATAATAAGAAAAAAATATCAAAAAACTAATATTGAAGCTACCTCACCGTGCACTAAGTGATTATGATCTTCTAAAATATTCTAAAAGTTTAAAAATACCATATTTTAGAGGAGTCTTTATGAGAAATGAATTACCCATAGGAGGGCCATGCCATTTCAACATGAATCAGCAATAATAAATCTTGATAATAAAGAAGGTCCTGGAACTCATTGGGTTGCATATAAAAAGGTGAACAATGAAACCGAATACTTTGACAGTTTTGGTAATCTTTCACCACCATTGGATCTCATTGTTTACTTAGGTGTTGGTAGCTATATAAAATATAATCATAAAAGATATCAAAATTTTGATACGTTTATATGCGGTCATTTGTGTCTTAAATTTCTGTGTAATCAACTTACAGTGAAGAATAACTTTAGTCTATATCAGAATGTGTAACCAATTTCAAGCTTCAGTATAGAACTAAACACTCAACATGAATGATTCTATCACTCTCTCGTTATCAGGGAATTCTTCAACCCTTGAGGCTTCATACTTTCCACCAATTGAACTATCATCTAACAAAAATTATGTTCTTGGTCTTGTTGAACTCCTTACATTTAACTCAATTCCCAACATTGATAAGGGTGCTAATATATTTTATATAGATGGTTTCAATATAGAAATACCAACAGGTAGTTATGAAATCCAAGATATGAAAAAGCATATTGAACATAGAACAAGACGCACTGGTCTTGTTTTAAAAATGACGGTTGATACAAATACATTACACTGTACAATTGCATCTAATCGTGAAATTGACTTCAGTAAAGAAAATGGTATAGGACAATTATTTGGATTTTCTCCCAAGTATCTTGGAGCAAATACAGTTAATGTTTCTGATTTAATTATATCTATAATGAAGGTGAATGCTATACGTGTTGAGTGTAATATTACAACAGGATCATATATTAATGGAAAGAAAGTACATACAATACATCAATTTTTTCCTTCTGTTTCTACTGGATATAAAATCATAGAAGTTCCAAATAATGTCATTTACTATCCAGTCACCGTAAAGACAATATATAATATTCAGCTGCGTATAGTTGATCAGGACGGTAATTTAGTTAATTTTAGAGGAGAGACAATAACAATACGTTTACATATAAAATCAGTGTAATGGGAATTATTTATAATCAAAAAAGAAAAGTTGGTGGTAGTTATAAAAGTAAACCAACATGTGTAAAGAAAAGCAATGTGAATGTAACTCGCAAGGTGTTAACACCTCAGAATCAAATATTTCTGAAGAAACTTGGTCTGCGAATCAGACATTAAAAATAAAGAAGAAGCAGAAGAGAGGTGAAAAATTCTATCTATTCATTTTGTGTCGTTGTTATAAGAAAAATGGAGGAAATTCTCAGCATTCCAACTCAAGTGAATTTTGATGAATCTATAGCAAATTATGAAATTCATAGTCATCAACCATATGCATCATCATCTTTCAACAATAGTGATGAAATTCGGATAATAGTTCAAAATCAAGATTTATATATTTTACCGAGTAGCAGTTCCTTACATATATTTGGACGCTTGACAAAGAATGATGGAAATACTTTAACAGAAAATGTTGATCTCATTAACAATGCTATAGCTTACTTATTTGATGAAATTCGTTATGAATTAAATGGTATTGAGATTGATCGATGCAAATATGTTGGTTATACTTCAACTATAAAAAACCTGGTTTCACTAACTCCTTCTCAACTTATACGTGATGGAAATGCAGGTGTGTTTGAATATTCTGCTTTGGATTTAAAAATGACTTTAGAAAATGGTTATTTTAATGTAACAGTACCACTTAGTATGCTTTTCGGTTTTGCTGAAGATTATAAGAAAATTGTTATGAATGCTAAACATGAACTCATTTTGATAAGATCACGAAATGATTTAAATGCTGTTATTCAAACAGGAAATCTTGACAATAATGAAGAATTTAAAATTACAATTAATAAAATTGAATGGTTAGTACCATATATTTTACCATCTGACAGTAATAAAATTAAATTATTAAAATTTATTGAGAAGGATCCATTAATTTCTATGAGTTTCCGATCGTGGGAAATGTATGAGTATCCTTTACTTCCAGAAAGTTCAAGAATTATGTGGCATCTCAATTAGAGAAACCACGATATGTAATTGTTGGATTTCAAACTGGAAGAAAGAATAAACTAAAAAATACATCCTGTTACTTTGATCATTGTAATATTAGGGGAGAGTCTCCAGTTGTGAGACACCTCCAGTTGTGAGACAGTCAATTTTTTTTAACCTGCAATATTAAAAAGCCGATTGGTTTATATAAAAACATTTCTTTTTATATGAGCCAACTTTTTCGAGTACGCCGAAGCGGATATATAAACTGTTTTTGTTAAATACCAACACTGTGTGTGATAATCGACTAAAAAGCGTTTTTTCAATAAATGCAAAGTACTTTTTTTCCAAGTTAATTAATTGGAAAAGGTAAATGTAATGCATTTTCTTTTAGTGTTTTCCTTATATTTTGTGATGCAATATTGCATTGTTCCAATCTACGGTTGAAAATAATTTAATTTTCCTTTTTCAAAATAGCGCCAATTTCTGGGTGTGAGACACAGCATATCACCAGTTGTGAGACGGTGTCAACACTCATCTGGGCAGCATAAAAATACGACTTTGCAGGCATACTATTTAAATGTTGTTTTGATTTTTTTTCTAGTATTTTTGGGCATGTCAAGTGGAAAAAAGCCAATTGATTCAGAAGAAATCAATTTTAATGCTCTTGTTGAAGCTTTTAAATTGTGTTTATTTGGTAGTCATATTTTGGCGAATAAATATTATTATTTAGTATATAATAATATATATTATTAATATATTTAATTATTTCTACTAAACATAACGTTTTATGTCAAACTTATTAAATTTTAGCAATTTTTAATGAGTGTCTCACAACTGGAGACATTTTTTTTTTGAAAAAAGCGATGTGCTCGGAAAATGTATCGTAAAATTTTTTGAGTTCATCGAAACACTATACTTTTTTTTAATAAAAGTTGCGTATTTCTGTTACCTTTCGAACGGTGTATTTTATTTACAATTTCGTTTGCCCGTTTACAATTTACGGGTCAAAAATAAAACCCGTCTCACAACTGGGGACTCTCCCCTACAAATGTAAAACTCTTTTTGAACTCACAATCTTACCCTTATGGAAATTTAAATTTAAATATTGATCAAAACCAGTATTCTTTATTATATGATATGTATGCTAATTTTCAATCTTCTTATTATGGAAAAGATTCAGAACCTACTTTAGCTATTAATACTTTTAAATTAAAAGCACTTTTAATTGTTATTGATTGTTCGAAACAAAATGAGTTTTTAAAGCAGTCTTCAGTCGATGTACGTTTAGAATTTGAAGCTAGAGAAAATATACCTGCTGATACAACTGCATATTGTCTCGTCATACATGATCGTATAGTTCAGTATAAACCAATCAGTGGTATTATTAAGAAATTGTAAGAAAGTGGAGGGGTAAACAAAGTGGTAGGGGTGAAGTGGAGAGGTATATAAGACATATTTCTGAAGCAGATACTCATTTCTATTCTAAAATGGAGTTCATAGTAGACGTTCAAGGTTTTAAAAAACCCTGCAATGAGTTTATTTTCAAAGAGTTGGCTATAGTTCCTCTGGAGTCAGATGCTCAACCAAGAGTTTACCTTTTTGAACCACCTTGTGCTTGGAATTCACTACCTGGATGTTATAAAAGTGAAAACATGTGGTTAACAAACAACTATCATTCAATCCCTTGGATGGTTGGAGATGTGTGTTATGATGAAGTGCGAACCATTTTACAAGATGCATTACGAGGAGCAAAAACTATCTATGTTAAAGGTAGTGAAAAAAACAGTGGTTTGAAAAGAATGTAATGAATGTATACAATTTAGAAGAAATTGACTGTCCAGCGTTTAAGAATATTAAAACTGAGTTTTCATCACCTACATGTACTCATCATATTATACAAACTGAAAATTGTGCAGTAAACAATATATTTAAGCTTCGAAATTGGTTTTTGAATGTAACGAGTGAACTGAGAAACTTCTCAAATGGTGTCGATGAAGTAGATGATGTGAATACTAATTTGAAATAATTTTATAAAAATTATGAACAACTATTGTAATAAGTTTGAATTTCTACATATATATAAAAATAAATGAATTTTATAATTTTAAAAAATGTTGTCTTTCTTGATATACCTACTCCTTTAATATTATATACTTGAAATTTTTTTTTCCTTTTACTTTAATAAAAATTTACTTATACAATGTTATACAAAATTCTATTAATTTAAAAATTGTTTAAAATATGAAGGTAGAATAATAAAAGAAGCAATTTAAAAGTAATTTTTTTTATTATTATAAGCATTTAAATATTTACATAATTTTTACAGTATAATCTTTTAATATTTATTCTTATTCAAATTCAATAACATTAAATTTGCCACCAATATATTTTAATCGCAACTTCTCCGACTGTACGGCTTCTTCCATCATTGTGAAGGAGGTAGGGTCAGCTTCAAATAGTTTTGCGAACCTTGCCGGCAGAAAAGTGGTAAATGTAGCATTCAGGTCTATTACAATCCTAGAACCATATTTGGTCTGCACCTTGTTTATTTTAGTTACGTTGTATAACTCATTCACAGTCAACTCAGACAGCGGCTTCGTTAGCAGAAATTTCTCCATGCGACCAGTGGCGTTGACTTTTTGGAAGTCCATTGTTTTAATATCTGTAAGAAAAGAAAAAAGATGGATTTTTAATATTAAATTTAAAAAAACTAATTTGGAACACAAAATGTTTTAATCAAGGAAGAGAAATTTACATACCAAATGAGTAGATGATGCTGTAGTTGTTAAAGCTGTTAGTACTGCTTATGTTGCTGTAGATGCTGAAGCTGTTGATACTGATGATACTGCTGAAACTGCTGCTGCTGCTGGAAATTTTAATAGAAGTGTCGAATCGTTGATTCCAACCTACCTTATATCCCTTAAACCCCCACTCTTCTTCTTCAACTCCCACTCTTTTACCTCCACTTTAACGACTGTGCACGCAACTACCTCCACTTTATGAAGAGTCATGTAGAAGACGTGTTCACACTCGCATAAAAATGACGTCACTAAAAGGGTTTTTAAGGAATGCCTTTGTTCTCATCTACAGTCAGGTTAAAACCTGTCTGAAGGTTTTTTAGACAATGTCTTTATTCTATTCAAGATGCAGGTTGAAACATGCTTTAAGATATTCAAAAAATACTATTGTTATCTTAGAAAAAGACGAGTTGAGACTTGCTTACATATTTTTGGACAATACATTTATCCCCATGGTGCTGTAGTACCAGTGAAGCATGCTGCAAGAGTCAGGTAGACAGGTCTGACGCATGAAACTTTTACTCACGTAACGCGGTAACCGTACGCGCACTTTTGTTGCGCACTGGGCCTTACCACCACCCACCACCACCCACTACCCACAACGCCTGCGCGGTATCTCGCGAACGTTTAATCCCTCGCGCTTCTCTATACGATTTTTGAAATTTCTGGTTTATACTAAGTGGGTGGTGGTGGGTGGTAATATTGGAAATATATATATAAAGGAAAAAAGTGGGTGGGAGGGAGGGGGGTAGTTAACTAAGAGCAATAGAAGAGGGTGGGTGGTATTTGCATATTCTATATCCAAAAGGGTGGAGAGTGGGTAGAATTTGCATAAACTAAAAGGGTTAACAATGAAAGTTAAATAATAAACAATAGAAAACGTATGCAAATTAAAAGAATGAACTAATTTACATATGCAAATCAGGTACCCCACCAACGCTCTGTAACTTTTCCATATATTTAAATATATACAAATTAAAAGGGTTAACTAATTTAAATATATGCAAATCAGGTACCCTACCAACGCTCAGTAACTTTACCACATATTTAAATATATGCAAATTAAAATGGTTAACTAATTTAAATATATGCAAATCAAGTATCCCCACTAACGTCAATTAAAAGGGTTAACTAATTTAAATATATGCAAATTTGATACCCCACTAACGTCAATTAAAAGGGTTAACTAATTTAAATATAAGCAAATCAGGTACCCCACCAACGGCCAGTAAATTACCCACATATACCCCACCAACTGTCGGTAACTTACCCTCGCGGTCGGTAAGTAGGAATCTACATTACCGATTTTATCCAGAACCGGCCTAGCTATACTACTAAAATCATAAATCGCGATTTTAAAAAAAAAATTTGGTCCTCAAAGGGTTAATATTATTAGAGCATAAAAGCAATACATTTCGTCTACTGAAATATCCGCATATTTTAAAATTCTAGAATTTTTTTTCAGTTTGTTTGAATCACTTAAATTCAAAGTACAGTTTTCTGCGTACATATCTGTCATCATACAAATCATTTCAACCATCTCTTCAGAAAGAAAGGTTTTAAAAATTTCTGCTGGAGTACTGTCTTTATTGATATTACTATCTGACTGAAGACTTTTCTTATTATCTATAAAGGGATGGATGATAGGTTTGAATGTAGATGTTTTAGACCAAGTTCGATTTTTTATAAAATTTCCCTTTCGATCAGACAAAGGTAAATTAGATTCATCTGGTGAATCGTTATCGTCTTGAATAGAATTATCACATTCTTCATCTGGCCATTCATCTTCATTCAGATAAATGGTAGAATCACTGCTGCTCAAATCATCGTCTGAACTAGAACTTACAAGTTCATCTGAATTAAGTTTTCTCTTTTTAGCTCGAAGACTCATTCTGTATCTTAATGTGCAAGTAAAATATTGTAACTAAATTTCAAAAAAAATTATATGGGACACTATAGTAAAAAAAACGGTCTGATCAATTTGTCAATTGACTTGTATATGAAGGAATAGTCAGGTAGATAAAATGTGATTCCGTTTTGGTCCTGTGGAAAGGGAGGCTTCCTGTAAATCAATTTAACATTAATAAAAGAGCAAGATTCTTAATTTTTTAAAACTACACCATATTGAATTTTGAAAAACTGACACCGGATTCATAATCAGCGACCCCAAAAACTCCCGAGTTGTCTGTTTTGAGCGAATCCGATAAAATTTAAAGAAAAAGTCCGCCA